AGTCCAGAAGACGACTGAGGGTGGAAGGTCCAGAAAAATATTTGTCTTCTGTTTATCCCCAAGGTATTAGGCTCAATGTAAGCTCAGAAGAGAGCTTAACTCTTGCAGGGCTTCAAAGCATTTAGCATCCATCTGAATGCTCTGAAAATGTCAGTCTTTCAATAGATGAGAATATCAAATCTCATTCATTCAGTAAGCAAGCACAGTTCTTGGCACTCACAAATTAATCTTAAGCGGTACTGTGCTTAGAAAAATCTCACCCTTTTCAAAGGAGATGTTTACAATGATTTCCTTTAGAGACTGATCTCCCTCACCATCCTACCTTACCTATCAGAAACTCAACACTTCACATAACATGTCAAATTTTTCCTGTTACAACCAAAACTCTGCAGTGGTGGTTACCACAATGCTAGGATTCTTCCACCCCAACACTGCAGAGAAGGCTGTCCTGGGAAACACAAGACCTGTTTCCTAGTGACTGACAATCAGCAGATTTCTATCACTTTCTACCCATGTCTGTATCAATTTTGTCAATTTGGGAAATGACAAAATCAAAAGGCCTGATGCACAGGACAGATCAAACATGGGAAAGGTGAGACCTGGCAAGCACCCATACACTGCTCCATCGAATCCCTTATTCCAATCCATTACTCCTTTGCTACTTCAGTTTTAAACCTCCTCCCAAGCCTGTCTCTTCACACCCATGCCTACCCTCTCTTTGGCCAGTGCCCTTCATTTTGCCTTGCAGACTCACTGGCATGCAGCTCTTGCAACCCAGGTCTTTGTAAATGGAAAATGTTGTTTTCCTTATCATAACTTTTTTTTCTTTTAAGGAGCAGGATAATTCCAAAATACTTGGAATGAGAAGCTTCCCACGTTCTGGCACTAAGAGGTTGACCACAATTTGTTCTGAAACCTATTTGGTGACCAATACAAATAAAATTCTTAAGCAGAAATCGTTCTCTCATTAACTAACAGAGGACATCCCTCACATCACAAACTCACCTTCTAGTATCTAAAATGCCTCACACCAGATAGGTCCTTAGCTGATGCTAAGGATAACCCAGTCAGAGAATCCCTGACTGAACTGACAGGCTCAGAACAACAGGAAAAGTAAATAATCTGTGGCTGCTGGTGCGATGGTAGGATGCAGTAGACAACGATAATGCAGCTCCTTTGGCGTGTGTTTGGGCCGTTCCACTATGTCTATTCTTTAAAAGAAAATGACATCGAGTTCTAAGTCTTCGACTTTTTTGGCTCCCTATGCTCATTGAAAAAAGATTGGTCCACTTAACATCTACACACCTATACACCTCCACTATACACCTCTTCTTTGAAGACCTTAATCACTTCAGGACTGCCCCTTAAAAGGTAGGAGCCTCTGCATTTGCACAGCTGCTGCAATGGCAGGGAAATTTCCTGCGACACTCGAGACAGGTAAATAAAGAAACTGCATTCGCTCCGAGGCAGGGGGAGGGGTCTTCTGCCAGTGAAGAGTTTACATAATGCAACAGAAAAGCCAGTAGGCTCTGCAGACCTGTCAATGGAGATCCAAGGCTTGAGCTCCTCTCTTCCCACCATCTCTAAACACTCTCCAAAAGCCTGCTCCTTCTTGTCCCAAAGACCCAAGAAATTACACCTAATAATGTAGGTAAATCTGCACACGTTCGCCCCATACGTCCCTACCCACCTTTATTAATAATAAAAATTTTAAAAAAAGAAAAGAAAAAGGAAAAAAACCCCTAACCTCCTACTTGAGTCCAAAGTATGGAGTAACCAAACGGAGTCGGGGAGTTTTCCCTCCTCTGAAAGGGCAAGGAGAACAAGGAGCTGCCTCAAATCTACACCACGCCCAGCATTGCAATGACAAGCCCTAAAACTCCACCGCGACCGGGGCAGATCCCTTCGCGGCTCGGCGCGACTCGACGCGGCTGGGGCCCCGCGGCCCGGCAGCTGGCCTCTCCCCCGGCCTCTCACAAAGGAGAATGGTTCAGTCCAGAGCATCACCCAGCACCTGATCCCTCAACAACTGGCGGACGGGCAGAGGGCGGGGGAGCGAGAAGGATGAGTTATTGAAACCAATTCCAAGAGCCCTAGCTTTTGCAAATACCCTTCGGCTAGCACTGAGGAGCAGGCGTGAGCGGGAAGCCTACCTGAACCAGTCCTGGTGCTTCCTTGCCAGCCAGCGTTTCAACTCACCCTTTCGGAGAACAAGGCGCCTTCCGGCGGAGCATGGCCAGCCCTCACCTCAATCTAGCTTGCTAGTAGTCCATTATCACTCGGCTCCGCCCACCTACGCTCCCACCCACCAATGGCAGGGCCGACGCCCGGCCTCTCCAAGCAGGGTAGTGTGAGTGCCATCCAGGAAGTCTCGAGTGTGGGAGGTCCTAACAGGCTGAGAAGGGTGCGTAGGCAACCATAGATATGCCTGATTGAAAATAAAATCTGGCGGTAGCTCGCCTCTGAAGGCTCTGTTCACAGGCGATCAGGCCTCTTGGCATTTTTTTTTTTGGACCCCCGCCTTTGGGGGCGCTCTAAACTAAAACATTTAGTTACCTGTTACTGGGAAGCCATCTTGGATCGGGTTGGTGCGTTGGGGACAGGGAGGAGGAGGCGCTTAAAGAATTTGAAGCTCTTTTCGGCGTTCTGTCGGACTACTTAGGTCCAGCCCCAACATAGTCTCCTTTTTATAATCAGAAAGCCCCTCAGTTACGATGGGGAGAAACTCTGGAATAATGCTGAATGTGGTTAGAGGCAACCACCATCCCCCTCTCATAGGAGTGAAGCGATCTTACCAGATCAAAGCTAAAAATGAATTCTTAGAATGACAGTGAGTTTTCCCAGTTCCTGAAATAATCCTTTATAGCCACCTCACTCCTCAGGATATCGGCATAAGACCAACATAGGTTATGTATCTATTCTAGATGCATCTAATCCTTATGCTTCACCTTCAAGTTTTCCCAGTGTTCTGACTTCGACAGTACAGAGGACTGGGAGTTGGAAAAGAACAGGATTTAGGGAAGCCCTTTTATTTTAAAAAGGCCTAAATTCATCAATAGACCCAAACTACTTGTGGATACAAATAGCGCAAATGATAGAAGCCTTAAAGGAGAAATTGTATGTAAGGAAGAGGGCTATTAGGTGCAGCCTTACAAACATTGGCTGCAGAGAGCAACTTCTAATAACTGACTTTAAGTTGAAAAGGAAAAAAATTTATTATGGCTGAAATTCTCTTGTGCTTAATGAGAAACATTTTCCTGTTTTTTCATCTAAATTTCTACTTGGTACAAGAAGTTTTTGTTTTTCGAACTTGTGAATGGCGGGAATCTTTTCAGATCATAAAAGGAATTTCTCATGGAATAATATATTTGCATGATCACACATGGTAGGAGCTCAGAGACCTTAAGGAATCATATGAGTCAATATTTTATCACAAAAGTGATAAGACTTGGCCAAATACATTTTCCTGTGTATTGAACAAAGTCTGTTGGCCAAATTCTCCCCTGGCTATTGCTATCATTATATCAAATTTGAGGTTAGTGTTAGGATTACCAGAACAAGGTGTTTGTCTGTAAATGCATATGCAGATATGATCCTAATTATTAATAGTTTCTAGAATGACAACCTATTATCCTTATGCTTATTTGATACAAAATAAACCTGCCACCAAAGGAACCAGTTAAAGGCATTAAGCACACATTGGAAAGCACTCTTAATTGTCCAACCTCGTAGAAAGGGGAAATGGTATGCCTAATAATTTCTGCTATCTGCAATAATCTATAAATAGGGCTGGCCGAGTGGCGCAATGGTTAAGAACTGGCTTGGGACGCCAGAGGGCCCTGGTTCGGATCCCACATATGAGGGCCAGTGACACTGCCCTCTACAGCTAAGATGCTGAACAACAGCTCAACCTGGAGCTGGGCAGCCCTGAGTTGCCAGCGACAGTGTAGGCTGCAGCCCCTGTGGCAGTGGGTTGCCATGGGCTGCCATGTGTAGCCAGCAGCCGCAGTGAGCGCCATCCAGAAGCCGGCTGATCTGCCTCGCCCGGGAAGAGCGCAATGATGGTGCCAACTTGGGCCAGTGAAGCAACGTCCTCCACAACTAGACTTAAGAACAAAATGACAGCAACTTTTCTGTTCCCCTTCCCCCAAATCCCCAGGACTGTTCCCATCCCCCCAATTCCCTAAAAAAATCTTAAAAAAAAATGCAAGAAATGCCATTAAAAATAATAATAATAATAATAATCTATAAATAGTATGACTTCGGCTGCTATAAATAATATGGTTTTGAATCAACATATGATATCATAACCAAACAACACCATGTTATATCATAACTGCCATTCTTCACGTGTAGGTGGGAGATCCACTTTCCATAATTCATGACCATTTCACTCAGAACATCAGCAGTGATCTACACAGATCATGAATTTGCGCAGATACTTTTGTTTCTCATGCTTCCCTTAGAATTGGTGAAATACCCAAGTACAGAAGGTTATGAATGGTTTGGATAGAACTGGTTGTGGGATTTTTTTATTGAAAAGATATGCTCCAAAGTATCAAAATGGTACCTTTACTGACTCTGAAAACAGCAGCATTAGGCAGAATGCTATCTTTGATCAATGCTCTGATGCCTCCCAATCACTAAAGATTTGTTTGGTTGGTAAAGAAAAACTGTACAGAAACTATAAAGTTATACTTACTTTAGTTTTGTCTCTGGTGTGAGGGTACAGGCTAACCCCAAATTCAGCAGCCTCAAATCCTTTTTGGAATCAGGTAGGATTTTTAAAAACAAAACAAAAGCATAATCAAAGCAATACCCCAAACGTCTTCCAACTTCCTGTGGTGCAATGTTAACTATTGCTACTGCTACTGGGGAAAGAATCCAGTACAAAATCAATGTATCTCAAGGAGTCTTCTTCCAATACCTTTGATACAATTCCCTAGGATAGTGTCTACTTATGTATGGGATACAACCAGAAATGACACATGAAATATGAGCAGTTTGGATACATGCATATATTTAATAATGAAACAATTCATCAATAACAACAAAATTAGAAAAATTCATGAGACCTCAGTGCTGTGGAAGAGAATGGGATGTCAAAGCAAAAAAAGATATAGCAACTGACCCAGAAGGCTGCATGATGAGGAAAGCAAAGGCAAATTTGGCTAGGATAGTAGTATATGCTCTTGAAAAGGAGAATGGCTGGAGAAGTACCCACTTATTTGACTGCTTAGATGCAGGCAGCCTTACTGTATGCTACATGGGATGGAGGCAAAGAGCCAGGGGAGGGAGAGGAGAGGGAGAAGATCAATGTATTAATAGAATCCAGGGTAAGCAGATGGAAGAGATTGAGATAGAGCTCCAAAGAGATTACTCTAAGGCCTTTTGTTTCCTCTGCAGTCTAAAATAGACCTGTTCCAAGTCTTTAAGTATGTCAGTTAAATTCAATGACCACATAAATAGCACTAGGCACTGTGAAGGAATGGTGGAGGGAGGGGTTTACAAAAGGAAAGGGATAACACGGTCCCTGCTCTCAAGGAGCTTACAACCTATATGGGAAGACAAATTCTACACACAAAACAACTACAAAACATATTTACAAAGTAACATAAATACAAATAAATATACATATGAATAAATAACATATGAAAGCCAAAGGGTACTGTATCAATCATTGTTTAGAAGTCCTTAGGTTGGTCAAAGAAGGCTTTCTGAAGGAAAATTTTTGGACTTTGAGTATAATGTTAGCAGAGAGCAGGGCATGTGGAAAGGCATAAAAGTGGAAGTAAAAATGTCATGTCCAGTAAGTAAGCAGATCAGCTTGATTAGGGTAAAAAATCGAAATAGGTCTCATTAAGAAGTGAGTGTGATGAATCAGTAGGGGTCTATTTGGTGAGAGATACTGGTCCCTAAAACAAAACGAACATGGAAAGATGTTTCCTTCAGGTAATTATAGTAAGTGGCCACAGGTCCAGGCGCAACTCCACTGCTCTCAAAAGTTTTGTAGTTACTCTAAGACAGAGAAACTAGCAATAGGATGGGAGAGAAGTCTTCAACATCCTTGAGCAGTTCAAGTTAGAAGGCACTGCCTTCTGCAAGAACTCTCACCACGTGGCAAGTGAAAAAACTCAATGACATGCCTAGACGGAGGCACTATCATCCAAAGGCTAGCCAGATCCCAGTAATAACTACTCAAGTGGAATGTCCTAGACCCTTTTACTAACTAATACTTTGTGGGGAGCAGACTGTGTATAGTTATAAAAGAATTTATTTTTGAAATATCATGACAATCAACTTTGATCCTAACTTTTTAGAAATTAAAACAGGAGGATGAGAAGAGCCCTAACCTATAGGGAATGCTCACATCCCTGAAGAAGGACAGGTCAGTAAGGGCCCAAATTCTCCCCTGGTCTTTAAGTGGAAAAGAAAAACATCACACCTTGCAAGAGGCTTTTCTCAGCTACAATAAGAAAGACCTCTTTCTTTAAGCCTATTGATCTGAAGCTGTTCCAGGAAGGGAAAAAAAAGAGTCCAGGCCAGATGTTCAGCAGCAGCCAGAGTTGGACTCCACATCCCCAGAGTCCCTCTGGGAGGTGCTGGGTCCCACTGATGATGAAATACACTGTTGGGGACCGATCTTGATGCCATTTGCCTATAAAAGAAAAGAAGCAATAGTTCCCACCTCAAGTGCTAAACTAAATGGGAGAAAGGAGAGGGACAAAAGGGGAAATAATTTATTATATTTTCTAGAAGCAGATATGACCTTGGCAAGTTACCACATGCCCTAGCCAGACTGCTGTAGAACAATAATCTGTGACAGTAAAGATGAGATGACCAGCTGTGTATGAGTATTATAGATGACTAGAAGTGGCTTTTGTGCCCATTTTTAAAGTGACTGTTATACTTAAGTTTCATAGCTATGTGCAGAATCACGATGTGATTAGGTAAAAGTAGGAGCAGGCAAAAAGAGTAGAAGTAGCACATTAGCATATAATTCTTTTTTGTTTTGCCCTAGAATTTGCTTTATAGAAATGGCCCTGCTGAGAAACTAAGAATTACACCTCCTCCATGCTCTGGATTCGTAAAAAACTGAGGTTGAGAAGAAAACCTCCCATACAGTATAAGCCTTTCTGATCACCAACTAAAATCACTTTAAGCATTCTAGGTCTCAGATTTGAGAGAAAAACACACAATGATGACAGGCTTTTGTGTACCTACATTAAAAAAACCAAGTATGAACTAGGCAGACCTTCAAGTAGTATGATGTTAGACAGGGAATGCTCACATTCTAGGGAGCTTCCTATCCTGTTTGAGACAAAGCCCCCTACCCTTTCTCACCTCATTGTGGACATCAAATAAACCCTGCTGGATCTTCCTATATATTTCTTTGGCTGTGTTAATGAAGGCCTAAGGGAGACATAAATCATATTATTAGGCTTATTATTTACGTAGAGAAATTGAATACAAATATTATTCCTATTTGGATTTTGAAAGTGAACCATTAGGAGAATAATGAGTAAAATACAGAAGGCTCCTCACAGTCCCTGTAAAAGCCATTGAGAGTAGTTTCAAAAATAAAAATGAATTATATGGTGTTTTGGTACTGACCCAAGGTGTCTCTAGGGTTCCTAGGTTGGCACCCTCTGCATATAAAACAGGCTCTCCTCTCAATTACTGAAGATACAGTCAACACCAGGCTTAGGAATGACTATAGTAGGATACCATTAGTCCCTCCAACTAAAGTGATTTACCAGTAACAGTGGAGTCTAATCCACACTTACAACCAATGTTACCCAAAGCAAAAGTAAAACCTTAGAAATCAAGGTAAAGGAAATGGGACAATACCCTTACAGGGAGACATATGGTCACTATGACCAAAAGAACATCCTTTAAAGAAAGGACATGTCTTATAGAAGAGAATGCCATGTCTTATAGAAGAGAATCCTGAATACAAGGACAAAGATGTGGTGTAATCTCTGAAAAGCTTTCCCTGCTTTTACCCAAATAGTACCTCTTCAACATTGCAGGCTGTTTTGGCTGAAGTTTCCATGAATATAAGTCCATGCTCCCGAGCAAAGGCCTCTCCTTCTTCTCTCTTCACATCCCTGCGAGACTCTAAGTCACTGCAAGAGATTAATTGGGGAGAAAACTAAAATAAGAGTCAAGTGAAAGAAGAAACCCTTGTTCTAAAAGAATCCCATAGCTGTTTCAACTGTCAGTTAATACATAAAGAATTGTAGACCCTATCTGGTATTCTCTTATGCAGGGCTAGTAATTTCTGTGGTCTCTTGGAAAATATTCTTCAGATCCATGACAGCTGCTGCTTGGCTGACGATAATATCTTACTCTATTATAGAGAAAAGGGTTTGTAAAGTGTTAGGCAAGCCCCATAGTTATGCAAGGCCTTTGCCCTATGCTTCTTTTTCGAAAGAGATTCAGTGAGAGCAAAGGAAAAAAGATGAAAAAGGAATTCCAGTTGTTAGAAAGGAAAGAAGTGATAGATGTCCCATCACATAGTAATGAGTGTCTTCCTCCTTTACTGGCATCACTCCACAACGAGAGAGAGAGCCAGGAATAAGAAGAGCACAGTTGCCTTAACTCTCACCATTATTAACATGTATAACAGCAGCTTGCTATCAGGGAAATGAAGGATTCAGAGAAAACGATAAAATTAGGTGATACCGGGGAAAGAAGACAGAGCTAAGGATTGAGAAAGGGAATAAAGTGGCATGGAAAGATTTTATGAAAGACAGGATAAAAGGCTGCAGAATAACTAAGGACGGAGTGTTTGATTTTCACTTTTCAGATTGGAAATTTTTATTTGGGAGGTTTTCAGTTTTCCATCCATGAAGAAAAACATCAAGGAATAAGTCCATTAAAGAATAACAAATCTATAAAATGTATACTTATTATTCATCAGCTGTGTGATGACCAGAGAAGAATCATCCATCTAAATGTCAGCACTCATAAATTTGTATTTCTAGCCCAGATGCTCCTCTAAGCTCCAAATCTGTTTGTCCATTAAGCCTGATCTTCCTTTCCAATCTGATGGGTAAAAGACACCTCAAACTTACATCAAAATGGAACTTGATTTCTTCCTCCCAACTTGCTTCTGCCCCAGGCTATCACATCTCAGTAAATGGCACTAGCCGAAAACCAAGATGTCATTCACACCTTTCCCTCCTTCATTCCAAATACCCAATCCATCCCCCAGTGAGGAACTTCTAAACTGTACTTTAAAATCATTCTTTTCTCTCTCTCTCCAGCATCATCACCCTCGTCCAAGCCACCATTCTTTCTCACCTGGAGTACTGCAACTGGGATCCCACTTCAACCCTGCTCCCCTCCAGAGAGATCTTTGAAATTCTGATCAAGCCACTTCTCTGCTTAAGATTCTTAAATGCTTCCTACTGTGTTTAAAATAAAATCTACACTCCTTACTAAGGCCCGTGAGGTGCCTGTAAGATCTGGCCTCTGCCTACTCTGCAACCTCGTCTTGCACCATTCCCCCTTCATTCAGTCCAACCATACCAGGTTTCTTTCAATACCCTCCCTTGCTCAGCTTCTTCCCAGTTCAAGGCTTTCACACAGTTAATTCCTCCCTTCCGATATGTTTTTCCTTTTTAAGTCTTTGCCCACCGAACTTTTACCCAGCCTTTGGATTCCAGCTTAAACATCATTCTTAATCAAAAATCGGTATCTTGTTAATCCTCCTTCATAGCAGCCTTTTTTTCCTTCACTGCATTTACACTATTTATAATAAGATACAAATCATTGTATATTTAGTATGTGTGTCCCCACTAGATACTCCATGGGAAGCTCCACAGGAAGAGAGGCATGGTTGTTTTTCACCTTGCACACTCAAAGTCTGGCACAGTGTATAGGACATAGGTTTTCCATAAATTGGTAGACCCAGTAAATAAGTACAATTAGTCTGTGGCCACAGTTCTCAAACGGTGCAAGGCAGGCACTACTACAAACTCACAAGGGTGCCACGGGACACTTGAAATTTTCGAGGGAAGCACAGCAGCATTCAACATCAGAACACCACATGAATTACAAGCTTAAGATAGCTCAGTGTCAATATCAGATCACAATAGATGCCATTTAATAGCTTCATATCAACTTTGTGAAGCTGAGTTTTTGGCAGCTGCTGTGATAAAAAGCAAGTATTGTGCAAAAATCAGTTTGAAACAGGAAATGAGAGTAACAGTGTCCAATCCTGATTCCAAGGTTTAAGAAGCTATGCAGTGCCCAATAGATACACACAGGTCATTAGTAAGTAATCATGATTATTAAAGAATGAAATTTTTAAAAAAATTTGTTTTAATTTAATGCTTTCCATTTTTCAAACTATTACTAAGTTGTTATGACAAAAACACTTACATTGTTTAGATCTAACTATTTAATAACAAAACTGTTATTTGTTTTGGCTTATGAGTGCTATAGAAAATTTACCAAGAATAAAAAGTGTTGGGGAAGCTGTGGAGAAACTGAAACCCTGTGCACTGCTGGTAGGGATGCAAAATGGGATAGCCACTGTGGAAAACAGTATGGCTGTATCTCAAAAAATTAAACATAGAAGCACCATAAGATCCAGCAATTCTACTTCTGGGTATATACTGAAAAGAATCGAATGCAGGGACCCAGATATTTGTACACCCATGTTGACAGCAGCATTATTCACAATAGCCAAAAGGTGGAAGCAACCCACGTGTCCATCAATGGATGAATAAACAAAATGTAGTAAACACATTCAATGGAATACTATTCAGCCTTAACAAGGAAGGAAATTCTGACATGTGCTACAATATGGATGAACCTAGAGGACATTATGCTAAATGAAATAAGCCAGTCACAAAAGGACAAATACTGTAAGAGTTCACTTATACGAGGTGCCTAAAGTAGTCAATTCATAGAGACAGAAAGTATTGGGTTGTTGGAAAAGTTGTGACGCATCTTTGCAACGAAAACCATAGAAAAAATACGTTATGACTTTTCCGACAACCCCATAGAATGATAGTTGCTGGGGCCAGTGGGATGGAAGATGCAGAGTCAGTGTTTTATGGGAACACAGTTTCAGTTGGGGAGATGAAAAAGTTGTGGAGATGGATGGTGGTGATTTTTGCAGAACAACGTGAACATACTTAATGTCAAAGAGCTGTACACTCTGAAATGATTCAAAGAGTAAATTTTATGTTATATATACTTAAACACAATATTTTTTTTTACTGAGGTATTAGGAGCACCATATACTAAAAGAGTTTGGGGACCAAGTGATTCAATGTCCATAGGGTACCTAGATGACTATTGGTACTTATTATTTATTCAAATAAAATTTTACCTCTTATTTCCAATCAGCATGATAACCATGTTGGAGCTTGAGTGTTGTCGAGCATCCTCTAACCATGAGGTCAGGTGATTGAAGGTTTCACGCCTACGGCAGAAAAGTTTAGAAAGTGGGTCTGAGGCCCATTTCAAGACGACAAAAACATTCCAGATATATGGGAAAAGGAGAAAGACTCGATGTATAAAGGAAAATATTAGAGAGGCCGTTCTTGTTCAGCATTCTTACCAGATAGAAAAGAAAAGATTGAAACCATAGGGAAGAGCCTCCCGCCCCCCATCAGATCTGACTCACCTCGTAATGTCGTACACCAGCAGTGCTCCAGCTGCTCCTCTGTAGTAGGAACGGGTGATAGAACGGAAGGATTCTTGCCCAGCCTTTCCCACCAACATGGCAACAAAAAAATCCCAACAAAACCAGGTTATCTCCAGAGAACTGACTTGATCATATGCCACTCTAACACAAAGGACTTAATTTTTTAAATAATTGCTATTAAGAAAAGAGAATCATGGAAAGGAAACATGACTGCCCACAGAGAAATCCAGGCAGGAAATCAATATTTTTCAAAGAGAATGCAATTATTTTGGGTAGGTCAGTTTTTTCTATAAGACCACCTATCAAATTGCTGACTAACACCCTTGGTTCCTAGGCACTGCCAGTAGCACCCCACAGTCACTGTGACAATCCATATTGTCACATGACGTTTCCATATATTTCCTAATATCCCCTAGCAGAGAAAAACTGGAAATAAGACTAGAAACTCAGAGTATGTTGTACTGTCAATCCAAACATGATGTTGAACACGTGAAATTAACATTTATTTTCTGTTTCTATCCCTTTATCTGCAAAAAGAAAATTATCTTAGAATGCCAATATTCTAACAGAAATTTCATTTTAATGGATTAATGTAGAAAATTAGTCAGATACCAAGCACTTAATTGGGCATATGCTAATTGACCTTTAGTGTTCCCTAGTAAAGGCAGGACTACCAAAATGTCCCTTTGCTGATATCTTGTCATGGCAAATAGGAGTAGAGAACAGGGAAAAAAGCCCAGGGCCCAGAACAGTTTTCCTTAAAAAAAAAAATCCAACTGTTCACATTCTAATCTCTGTTCTAGTTGGGGTAAAGATACTAAGTTGTTTTTTTATAACTGAACGATTTATCAATGTCCCCACATACTGGGGACTTTTGCTTTCCTGATGGAATAGGGTTTTTTTCTCCCCTTAGAGGAAGCAAAAACATCTTTTACATACAAATATGAATACCCTGGGAATTGAAACTACCCTATTAAAAAAGTTTGCACATTCTTGAAATCATTTATCCTCATATCCCTACTTAAAGTAGGGGAAGGAGGACTACTGTTTATATTTTAAAGATGGGAAAACTAAAATGTGGACATGGCAAAATTAATGGCTTTATTATAGTATAATAACAATAATAGTGATGACACTAACAATAACAGAAATGGGGAAAATGAGGCTCAAAGGTATAAGTTCAGTAATTGGCCAAAAGTTATAAAGTCTATAAATGCTGGATATATAAATTAACTTAGGGTCCTAGTACTTCCTAGCACAAAACTTTCTTCTCTTAGCCATTACATCATATAATCTAAATGTGGGTTTGAAGGTAAGAAGAGAATTCCAGTACACTAATTCTTAGGTTACTTTTCCCACAACACAAGAATCTTTCTATAAGAATCATACAAGTGTTTTATTGAATAGCATACCTGTTAGAACATGAGAATCAAAAAATAATTCTAAAGAATTTGTTGGTAATATTAGTAATGCTAAAGATATAAAACACAAGTTTTCTCTCCAAGAACTCGCTTAAAGTTTTATTTATTTGCTAATCGTTTTATGTCTTAAATTGATTCCTGTTTTGTTTTTATCTCCTACTGACTTTTTTCCTCTTCTGCTATTGTTGAAAGCCCCTCTTTCCCTGTGGCCTACTAGGATCTAAAAGGGAAAGCTTAGGGGAAACCCGCATGATGGTTGAAGCACATGGCGGCATTTAGCTTTAGTAGCTGAAAATACTTCCAGTGGGTCATCAGAAAATGCCTTCAAAATAAAATCACTTCACTTCTTCATCTCAGTCCAGTTCATAAACCAAAGTGTGTGAGCCAATATGCTAGAAAGAGTGAGTGGTTCAATTTGGGCTGCTCTGCATCAGTCTGAGGTACGTTTGTCCATCCCCAGTAAAAAAATCTGAAGCAGCAAAGTCTAAGATGGAGGTTTGATTAAGAGAATTAACAGTTTTCTATTTTCTCCCAAGTGGAAGCATCATATTATAGTTTTAAGATGTATAGTTGGAAGTATCAATCCCTACAAAGTAAGATAGGCTTATTTCCTAAGAATCAAAATGCATTCCTAAGTAAAATACAAATGAATTTGGGATTACTTAATATTTTATATTAGCCATAGTACAATGCCTCTTCATTTAGCATGGTTATTTGGGCAACTATCATACAGAATGAAGAAAGATAAAAAGTAACATGGCTCTATAAATCCTTCTCAATAACTAGAACAGTGACAACAAAAAACTGGATAACTTGATCTCTTTAAAAATATCCTTCATGGTAATCCCAAAACATTTGCCTATAGGATGGCTTTGGGAGTAAGTGAAGAAATGAAGTCAACATCACGGGAAGGGGCAAGAGGGGTAAACAAGGATAGGAGATCAGGGATGATAAGGGATAAACATCTGGCTTACGTGGAGAGTGGCAGAGGAGACAAACACATTATAGATAGGAATCTCTTAAAAATTTCAAAATGAATAGAAAAACCCAGTATTCTGAAATCTAATTTTTTTTATTATTCAACAAAGATCAGTCCAATCTCAAAGCAATGACCAAAAGGAAGTAGAAAAGAACTAGGCCAGTTGCATCACAAGTGACTAACAGGCCATATGGTTCTTGAGGATCCTGTCAACAGAGCAGTGGCTCCCAACTTTCTTACTTTATGGTCCACCATGTCTCATATTACCACTTAAGAGGAAAAAAGTCAGCAAGCCAACACTCAGACACTCTATGACCATGACCATACCTCTAACTGGCAGCTACTGGGTCTCCTGGCATCAAAAGATACAGTTTTGGAAATGAGAGAGGTTTAAGTTAAATCTAGGGGGTGACGGGTTAGCTCAGTTGTTTAGAGCATCGTGCTGGTAACACCAAAGTTGATGATTCGATCCCTGCATGGGCCACTGTGAGCTGTGCCCTTCTTAAAAGAGTCAACTATGCCATTGTAGCATGAAAGCAATGGGTAACCAATGACCATGGCTGTTCCCCAATAAAAATTTTAAAACAGGGCAGCATCTACCTAATATCAGTCTTGACACCTACTGGCTTCACTCTTTGTTACCTCCTCAGAATTTGTCCTGTGGCCTCTTTAGGGGGCCAAATACAGTAATACCTTGGTTTGTGAGCATAATTCATTCCGGAAACAAATTACTCGTATTGCAAGACATCACTCGTTTACCATGTTAAAACGTATTAGAAATGTTTGCTCATCTTGCAGAACACTAGCAAACCAAGTTACTCGCAATCCAAGGTTTTACTGTATATCTTTGTGGGAAATATAAAAAACAGGAGATAATAAGAAGGGAATTGCAAAACTTACTTGGGTTAATAGTGACAAACAAACCCTGGGCCCCAACAATAAAAGGAGAAGGAAGGAAGTGGCAGCTGTTTAAGAAATATATGAACTTAATTTTGGCAACAGATAGAGAGTAATACCATTTAGGCTTTATTGGGAGGAAAAAGCTAGAGACAAAACTGGCCAAAAGAAGCAAGTTTGGAAGTTATAGAGGTATCTGGCTACTGCTACCACTGTCAGGTCTGTGAAGTGATTCATCTTCCTATAATTAGGGCAAGCCAATATGGTTAAGATGAAAAATCTGATCAGAAGGGCAAAAGGTTATTAAAATGCTTGCAAATACAACCAACAGTAAAGGACAATATCATCCCAGTTAAAAGCAGCTGATCAATCAGTGCATCCAAAAGTGGTAATGAGCTTGGAGGCTAACAGAAAAGGACTCTGTGCAAAAAGGGTCTAGAGCACCAAGTAACTACTTTTAAGACAGACACTTGCATGTGTTGGGGGACATCGGGTAGGTACAGGGGAAAGGGAGGAAAAAAAGAAAAAAAATCACTTGTGAACTGCTTGTAGATATAAGGAATTTAGCTCTCAGTTCCAAGAAGAAACAGAATCAAATAATAGGAATTAAACAAAAACAGGAAGAGATTTTAGCTGAATAGTAGGAATATGTGCTACCTCCCTTTAACTTAAAATAGAGACTAGAATATTATTTTTTTTAGAGGAAACAAAAGTACAAACCAAACTGAGATAATGCACATGAAAGCAATTTATGTGGATAAAGCAGAATTACACTAAGTCAAGCTAAATTTTGGCCATACTACCTTTATCAAATTTTAAAATATGCATAACCTTGACCCAGAATTTCCATTTCTGAGCAGGCATTCTACAGAAATCCTCAAACATTTGCATAAAGATGTAGTAAATAAGAATGATCAATGAAACTTTGCAGCAGTAAAAAACTGGAAACAACTAAAATGTCCATCAATGGGAGGGGTGGTTAAATAAATTATGGAACAGACATTCTATGATCCTATGCAGTGATTAAAAGAAATGAAGTAGAATGGAACTACCTTATGACCTAGCAATTCCACTCTTGGGTATCTATCCAGAGAAATCCAAAACACTAATTTGAAAATTATTAGAGGCCGGCCGAGTGGTGCGTTGGTTAAGAGCTGGCTTGGGATGCCAGAAGGCCCCGGTTCAGATCCCACATATGAGGGCCAGTGACACTGCCCTCCACAGCTAAGATGCTGAACAACAGCTCAACCTGGAGCTGGGCTGCTGTGAGTCCATGGCAACGGCGAAGGCTGCAGCCCCTGTGGCAGTGGGTTGCTATGGGCTACCGTGTGTAGCCAGCAGCCAGCGTGAGTGGCTAGCAGCCGCAGTAAGCAGCCGTCCAGAAGCCGGCGACTAATCTGCCTCTCCCGGGAAGAGTGCAATGATGGTGCCAACTTGGATCAGTGAAGCAATGTCCTCCAAAACTAAACTGAAAAAAAGGACAGCAACTTGTCTGTTCCCCTTTCCCCAATTCCCCAGCGATGTTCCCATCCCCCCAAATCCCCAATAAAAAATCTTTAAAAAAAATAATAATAATAATAAATTAAAAAATATGGCATTCATATCTGTAACTGTAACAGAGGGAAATGAAAGCTTCCCTATGTCTTTGATTTCACTCCTCCCCTACTCTGATATCCACCATCAGCCCTACCCTCAGCCCTTTCCCCTGCATCAGCCTTTAGTGTTGTATTTGGATCTTGGTCAGAGACGAAATTATTTTGTCCTCTCTCACCGTATCCCAGATTTGCAGTTTGATTTGTTTTCCATCAATGTTGACCATACGGGCCCCAAATTCCACACCTGTCAGTGAAGACCAAGAAAAAGAAAGTGATTGTCATGAACAGCCATGTGAGTGAGAAGTTCATGCTTTTTTTCAGCGTGCTAGTGACTCATCCTCTGTCTGCACTCAGTGCCACTAAGCCCATTACCACTGCCTACTTGCGCCAATTAGTTTTGTGTTTCTTGAAGTTTCATATCTTTTCTAGAATTAAAAACTGTGTTCTAGGTGATAATTACTTCAGGAATGTAAACAAAAAGCAAATATGGAGATAAAACAAATTAAGAACTCAAATAGAAAAGGTAAATAAATTTTTAGCAATGTTAATTAATGCTTAATTTGATTAGGCAATGTTTAATTTTGTAACTTTTTAAAAAACTTCTAAAATTAAAAAAATATTTCTTAGCATTTTTCTCAAAATCACTCTCTACTCCTCTATATGAAACAATATTTTTTTTGGAATTCTAGATTTTTTGAGAAAAGAGCCTATCTAAGAAATAAGTTCTCAAGAATGATATATTTCAGATCTCCAATAATTCCCACAGTTCAGCAGAAAATAGCCTTCTTCATAGGAGTATGGAAACTGATAGTTTCAATAAAGATTTTGGTTTATCTGGCACTCATCTTCTTTCAAGGTAATGCCAGGACAAAAGTTAAAAATCAGAGGTCACTTACATTAAAAACACTTGATCATATGTCAGAAAATTTTTCCCATTTTCTATTCTTATACTCAAGTACTACTTGAGGAATTCTGACTTCCAAGTAAGAAAGAAGACTAATCTAGCTTTTGCTAATGGGCTGATGCGCACCTATTCAGTGGTCCCACACACAATGTATCAAAATATCACTCTCAACTCTGAGGTGTCAATAAGATATTTAAAAAAAAAAAGTTTCTTACTACTCTAGACTGCTTCACCAAGAATAGTGATAGCTACTGCAAAAAGTCACTCCCCCCCCCCCTTTCTGGACAATAAGAATGGAATTTCATTCAATAGGGAAGAATTGAAAAATAGAATTTTGTCTCTTTCTATTCAACTTTCTCTAGTTATGTACTCAGAGACCCTTGTATTTTGCACATGTTTTCTATCCAACTGCCTTTTTTTAAATCTTGGTACGAAGATTGAAATCAGAAAGAAATAGAGCCTACACTGGGCTCTGGGGAAAACTTGATCATGTCATTCCTCCCTTTAAAACTTGTCATTTACTCCCATTACCTTCAGGTGTCTCAAAACTTGGTCTCTATTTTAGACTCTAGATTTATTATTTGCCACTCTCCACTTCAAATTCCATGCTCCAAACATGTTAAATTATTTTCACTTTTCCAAAGGTAGCCTGCTTTCTGTCATTCATGAGTCTTTGTATATGTTATCCTCTCCTGCCCCGATCAATTTTCCCTCAACTCTACAACCCTTTGCCTGGCTAACTCCCGCTTATTCTTCAGTTTTCTGCTTTTCCTGATAAAGGTGGCAGCCTCTCCTCTCCTTCTGTGATAAGAATTTATTTGTCACTATACTGTATCTACCCCCAGCCCCACCTGCTACATTGGAAGACTGTAAGCTACTTAAGGGCAGGCACAATGTTTGCCTTGTTATGCACTGTATCATTAGCATCTATCACAGTGTGGGTGTTCACTTAACATTCATTTCCAAAAAATATTTTCCTGTTGATGTTACCCTCTAAATTATTTTCTAACACCATTAGTTATTTAGCTCTGAATAAGTCCTTTGGGAGCAGTAGTAGCTTCAGATTTCAATAAGGTGGAACTGTAGATGGGGATATGGTAAGAATGGGAGCTAGAGATTTTATTCAGAAACTGCATTTGCATAGCAAGAAGTCTAGTCTTATATATATTTTTTATTTTGGCTGAGGTTATGGATATTATGGGGAAGGGGATGCTAAAGCCCCAGCAGGCTTTATCACAAATATGTGGGAAATGTGATACTTTCCGGAACCACCTGGAACTCTATCACACTATTTTCTTTTAAAGTTATTAGTTTCATCTACATTTTAAGTCCAGGATGACTCTTCAATTTTCTTCTTCTCCAACACACAAAAAAATTATATATTGGTCATTACTTAGAAAAACACATACATGTGAGGCTAGGATTAATTTACCGCAAAGGTGAGTTTTTGAATTAGTTAGCTTTCGTGGGATTTTCCAAATATTCAGCTGCATTTGGAAAAAAAAAAACCTACAGCATCTTATCCATACCTCATGCTCATCTCTAAAGTTACCTTTCAATTATTTGCTCCCCATTACACTACTCCCCATTTACAGCATTTGATTGGTCACTCCTCATTTAACACAACTTTGGACTAATTTAAAAGTAGGGAGAGCTAACTTTTTACTTTGAACCCTGAAGGCTGCTAACTTTCCACTTTAGCTAGTCAGGTTTCATTATCTGTCCAGGGACAGGTAGGTGCACTTACCTATTGTGAGGTCGTGGACAGGCTGAAACCGCTTGTCTGTAAACTGCAGGAGAAGACATGACTTCCCTACACCTTAAAGAGGAGGATGCACGTTCAAGGAGTCACGCCGCATAAGAGCGGTCCCGAGTCTGGGCGTCCCGGACTCGGGAAGGGGAGCCCCGAGCTCCGAGCCCCGCCCCCGGCCACCCTGCCCCCGCCCCCTGTTCACCTAATCGCCCAGCCTACTAAATGAGCCCCGCCCCCACGACCCGAATTGGGAGCTTCGAATCCCAGCCGCCAGCTGTGAGGGCACGCGCCCGCGGCTTACCTGTGTCCCCGATGATGATGTACTTGAAGAGATAAGCATAAGTCATGATCCCGTTTCCTCTGGATTCCGGGTCCGCCTGACTTCTACAGCCACTTACCTCCGGCCTGTCTAGCCACTCAATCGGCTGATCTCCGGCCTCTCTAGCCCAAATCACCTCTCTATTGCTCTCCCCAGAAATCCTCTCTTGGTCGGGGCGACGGTAATAGCCAGACACCGCCTCCAGAGACGCCTGTAACACTTCTATATGCCATTATCCCACCAAGCTCCAGGGGGCGATAGCGAGCCTTTCCGTCCTTTCGGCCTTCCCGGGCCTGACGCGCCTTCCAATCAGCGGAGAGCGACGCGCGTCCTTGCGGAAGTGACGGCAGTTCCGAGTCTTGTGGGGGCGGTGGGAGCGATGAGGGGACTGAGACGGTGGTAGCCGTTGTGTGAAGATGGAGGTAGGAACCTGAGCGCTAAGAAGGCTGACGAGAGAGTGCGACCGACCTGGTTGAAGCACAGGCGGGAAGCTGGGCGGAGAGGCGGCTGACAGGACGGGAGAGAGCGGGATACGGGGAGTGTTGTCAGAATGTCGGGGTCAGAATCCGTCGCTCCAAGCTAACTCCCTGCTCCCCCTAACTTATCCCCGCGGCTTTCTTTTGGTTTCCAGTTTCCCGGAGGAAATGACAATTACCTGACGATCACAGGGCCCTCGCACCCCTTCCTGTCAGGGGCCGAGGTGAGCACGAGGTGCCGATGCTGGGGGCGGTGGGGAGGGCGTGAGGCAGTGGTGGGGTAGGGTGGTGGGGAGGAGAGGGCGCCAGGGACCGGGGGATGGGAATCAGGGGCCGCGATTGGTGTTTAGAGAAAAGTGGCAGCTGCTTCTAGAGCCTATGAGGACTAAGGGGAAGACCCAGGAAACTGCTGTCATCAGAAAAGCAGGACTTTGGAAAGAGCTGGCGTATTTCAGAGTGATTCTGGATTGGAAGACAGAGTGGACTTGGCTGTCCCCTTACGTTGGGGAGAAATAACTACGACAATCTTGGGGAATCGAAGAGGGAAGAGAATATTTCAGCTAAAGAAATTGGGATGAGAGTTTACCCAGCAGGGGTTAACTGTGGGCATTGTTCATTCTTGAACCAAACTTTGTTGAAGGGGTCTTTGTTTCATTTTAATTTGCTACGCAGTGATTTTTTTTAAAGTTAATAGTTATGTTTATGTACATGGTGTTAGCTTGTTTTGCTAGTGAAGGGTGAAAGGAAATTGTTGCCAGAAAACATGAAGGAAGTAGAACATGTGTTTCTGTTTGCCAGTGACTCAGTTTGGGGAGGTTAGGTCACCTTTGTATGTCAGTTTCCACAGCTGTCAAATAATTGTAATAATAGTGTCTTACGATGTTGTAAAGTACAAGTAATGGTTATGGTGAGGTCCTTTAGTATTTGTGGAAAAGTTTTGGTTGAAATAATTGTCATAATATAGATATGTATCATTTGCTTAGGCAAGGCAAAGAGAAAGATGGAATAGGCAAGAATAAATTTCATGGTCTTTGAGAAATTGTGAGATCTTGAGCTTTCTACCGTCTTTTCAGGACTTTTTTTTTTTTTCAAAAGTGGTGTGAACCATTTGCATCAGTTTTTTTTGTACCAAGAATTCTCAATTGCTGTTGAATGGGCTTATCCTGTTATAAATCGTAACGATTTCATGGATGAGAATTAGATTGATATGAGGCAATTGCTAGTTTTTAACTTACTTTTTTTATTTTTTATTGGGGAACAGTGTGTTTTTCCAGGACCCATCAGCTCCAAGTCGAGTAGTTGTTTCAATCTAGTTGTGGAGGGCACAGCTTCGAGTAGTTGTTTCAATCTAGTTGTGGAGGGCACAGCTCAGTGGCCTATGCGGGGATCGAACTGAAAACCTTAGTGTTATGAGCACTGCGTTCTAACCAACTGAGCTAACTGGCCACCTAGTTTTTAACTTCTTTATTGCTATTATTATTATTTTCCTAAGCAGAGGAAAGTGTGAATCAAATGAGCAGCAAATTTAGAAATTATGTAAAACTAAAATCTGATGCTTTATAGTTTCATTGCCAGTTTTTTCTGAGTGATATCCCCATGGTTTAATTTCATTGTTAGAAGTATTGTAACTCTTACATTGGCCTCATCCACATGAAAAGTCCATCATTGCCAATTTTGCCAATTTATTCTAAATCAGGTCTCCAGAATTTAAATTTCTTTATTTAGAGTGTTTGTAAATTTCACATTGGCCTCATCAAGAAACTTTCCAGGTATGAGTCTATCCTTTGTTTTTGCTTTTATAATTATGAGAAATTTTAAAAAACAAAACTGTTTGCCAAGAAGCTCATAACTAAATTTTAATGGCTTCCTTTAGCCTAGGACTCTGTCATTGTTAACAGTTCTCCTTATTACAATTTCTTCACTGTCCTGGGGCTGGCTGAGTGGCTCAGTTGGTTAAGAGCTCGCTCAAGAGTTTGAGCTCTGAGGAACAGCAGTTCGATTCCTGGCCCGAGCTGAGCAGCTGCTGAGCTGCCAACAGGTGGCAGGATGGCTCAGGGAAAAAAAAATAGTAAAACAATTTCTTCACCTTCCCTTCCCGTTTTGGTTTTTTCTAACCTTAATTTTAATTGGTTTGTGATTTTTGTTGTATCTGGTCTTACTGTGAGCCTCGTAGAACTAGGTAAAGGTAATATTTTAAATTTTTTCTTTTAAAAAAAGAGTGATTTTTAGTTTTCTTGCAAGAAGTCCACAAAAGTACTGACCATAAAAAAATTGAAAAGTTGGACTTCATTGAAATTAGTAACTTCTTTTCATTGAAAGACATAATTAAGAAATTAAATAGGCACTCCACAGACTGCAAGCAAATAGTTTAATACCTATATCTGACATATTCAGAATATATCTAATACTTCTGCGGAATAAAAGAAATAATCCAATTTAAAAATGAGCCCGAGATTATTATTATTATTAATTTTTTGGGGTTGCTGTTAGGGATTTATTTATTGCGTACTTTCTAAGTGCTGAATCCTTTGCAGAGTCATGATGGGAGGCAGTGCACAGTGATGGAAAGACCTCTGTTCAAATCCCATCTCTGTTCCTTATTAACTTTTTTTTTTGTCATCACTAGAGTTTTTCTTTTTTCAATTACTTCTACATATACTATTATATTAGTTTCAGGTGTACAACATAGTGATTACACATTTATATAACTTATGAAGTGATCACCCCGATAAGTCTTAGTATGGACAAAAGATTTGAACACGTACTTCATAAAAGAGGTTATCCAGATTGCCATTAGGCATGTGAAAGAGTGTCATCATCACTCATCAGGGACATAAAATCATAATGAGATACCATTGCACAGCCACCAGAATGGTTAAAATTAAAAATACTGACAATCCCAAGAGTTGACAAGGATGGAGATAAGTCTTAATCATTGCTGGTAAGAGCGTAAAGTGAGTCAACCGCTTTGGAAAACTGGCAGTATCTACTAAAGATAAACATATCTACCCTGTGACCCAGTAATTCCACTTCTTGATATATATATATAAATATATGTATATTTGTATATTTATATATATAAATATATATATACACACACACACATATACATATATGTAATGTATATATTCACCAAAAATATGTATGTTCACAGCAACTTTTTTCATAGTAGCTAAACACGGAAACAACCCAAATATCTATAAACTGGTACATTTGTAAAAAGGAATAATACATAGCAATAAAAAAGAACAAACTAATAAATGCAACTTGGGTGATCTCAAAAATATATTGTTGAGTAACAGAAGCCAGACATAAAAGTAGACACAATATGAGTTCATTTTTTAATGAAGATCAAGAATATACAATACTAAACAAGTGTTTTTAATGAAGAAAAGGGAACCCTTGTGCACTGTTGGTGGGATTGGAAATTGGTGCAGCCACTATGCAAAACAGTATGGAGTTTCCTCAAAAAAATTAAAAATAGAACTACCTTATGACCCAGCATTTCCACTCCTGGGTATCTATCCAAAGAAATCCAAAATGCTAATTTGAAATGATACATGCACCCTTAGTTTACTATAGTAGTACTCACAATAGCCAAGATACGGAAACAACCAAAATGTCCATCAGTAGATGAGTGGATATAGAAATTGTGGTACGTTTATACAATGGAATATTACTGTCATAAAGATGAAATCTTATCATTTGCAACAACATGGGTGGACCTAGAAAATATGCTAAGTGAAATAAGTCAGACGGAGAAAGACAAATACCATATGCTCTCATTTGTAAGTGGAATCTAAAGAACAGAATAAATGACCAACTAAAATAGAAATAGACTCATAGATACAGAGAACTGGTGGTTGCTAGATAGGAGGAGAGTTGGGGGGATGGGTGAGAAAGGTGAAGAGATAGGAAGTACAAATTGGTAGTTACAAAATAGTCATGGGATGTGAAATACAGTATGAGGAATATAGTCAGTATTGTAAAAACTATAGTGTAAAATGGGTATTAGACTTATCAGGGAGATCACTTCATAAATTATATCAATGTCTAACCACTACACTGTACACCTGAAACTAATATCAAATAATATTGAATGTCAACTATAATTTTAAAAAATATACAGTCACATGATGTAAAAAGTACAGCATAGGGAATGTGGTCAATGGTATTATAATAGCTATGTACGGTGTAAAGATAGGCAGTAGATTTGTTGGGATTATCACTTTGTGAGGTGTGTAAATGTCTAATCACTATGAGTATATTGTTTTGTACACCTGAAACTAATAATTTTTTTAAAAAGACCTAAAAAAAAATGTACAACACTAAACTATAGTGATAAAAATCAGAAGAGTGGCATCTGTTCCAGAAGGGAAGGAGTGTTGACTGGGAAGAAGTATGAGAAAATTCTTTTAGAGTGATGGAAATGTCCTGTACCTTTGATCTGTATGTAATTGGATGTTTACATATGTAAAAATTCATTGAGCTATACACTTAAAATTTGTGTACATAAGTTATACCGCAATAAAATAAGAAATAATAATTTTTAAAGAATATGTGTCCAGAGAGGCACGCTTAGCATCTGTTACAGTATTGCTTGAAATAGGGAAGTTATATAATTTGAAGGGAGTTTAATCTTTCCGTTCCTTCAGCTTGACTTTTTTATATAATGATACTGTGCTTTGAGCACTTTGGGGAAATAATAAGTCATAAGTACACCTGTCCTTAATTAGAAAAAGTATAACATTAGAACCAGGTAATAATTTCAAACTGAATTGTTAAAAATTTCACTACTATAACAGTTTTTAAGAACAATTATTTTAATAACCCATAATACCAGTGTACTATTGAATAAATAGGTGTTGGATTAAAATAAATTTTAAAATGAATAATCTACACAAGAAATTATTTGAAGAAATACTGGAATGTGTGCCTTGATATGGGGCAATGTGAAATGGGAGGGAAATGGAATTTTTTATTTTTTGGTTCTCTCAGTAGGTAAGCATCTTTGCTTATAAACTGTAATTCCCAAACTGCTTCCTCCCCCTAAAAGGCCTAGGAATTTACCAGAAAAGGAAAATAAAGCTGAGTGAGAAGGTAGCTGCATCGTGTTCCTGTGTTCTCCTTCTATGTCCACATCATTTATTTTTACTTTAATATTTGGTACAGTTTTGTTTTATGTTTGACAGTCTAGAGTATGATCTAGTTATGTAGTAGATGTACTAAAATAAAATAACTATTGATAATCCTACAGATCATTTGTGACAGTAAACAATATATAGTCAATCTTTGTTTATTCTAGCATGTGGTTTGCCCTTCTGTATTAACTCTTTTACTGCGTTAATTGATTTCAAGTTTTTTTCAAAATGTGTCAAAATTCCACAAAAAATAAAAAGTTGATATTTTGACTATTTTATGACTTTAATAACATTTTAAGCTGCTTTGTACATAAATGACATTATTTTTATTTTAAACCTTTGTTACATGGTAATAAATTTACCATTATATTGAATTTTAGCAAAAAATACTCAAGACATACTAAGTGGCATCAATTGGATTTAAGTATAGATAAATTAGAATCTAATGGCATTGATGACATAAAAAATTTATTACAAAATGTTACACAATATGGCATACAAAACATCTTTGTTGTTGATTGTGCAAGCCACAGGAAAACATACCGAACATCACAGCAAATTAATCATTGTCATTATTTTACTCTTCTTACTTTAAGGAAGAAACAAACAAATAAACCAAACAACCGCCCCCCAAAAAACACCGTTAAAGCCATGGATACTGAATAACAAAGCTGTTTCCAGGGGGTGGTGCACAGAAGGAATGCCTTGTTAATTCCATACAATGGAATCTCTGCATGTCTCTTTTTTTTAGTGTAGTCCATGAGAGCACTGCAGATGGTTTGTGAGGGGCAGTCCTTTGTAGAACACTGGTCTCTTGTTTTGGATATGAATTTTTATTCTTTTTCAGATTTAATTAACAAATAGTATCATTTTTACATCTCAGCAGAGTTGCTTTTTTATTTGTTGTGGTAAGCAAAATTTGTTGCTTTTGCCAAATTATTTATTGCTTTGCCAAATCAATTTGTATCTTTTAAAAAAATTGAAAACCATTATTATATAACTAATAATCTGTTACAATAAATGTTTCCCCTGATCCTTTTTCCTGTCCCTGTAGCTTTTTTGTTTGTTTGCATGAGAATTTGGTTAAAAAAAGTCGTCGTTCCCCGTTCCTGAAAAATGCTTACCTGAATCTAAGCTGAAATTTCAGTCTTGGATCTGAAGTTAAGAACTTCCACACAATAGTAAAAATTATGAGTTGTATACTGAGAAAAGCTCAGTTCGTGGGGAGAGTTTTAGTTTTTCCCATCAAGAACTTCCTGTTCCTATGCTCCTTATGCTACTGTCATGTTATTAGCCCAGACAACTACCAAATTTGTACCATACTAAGTAAAATAGTAAGGATCTTAGAGGAGGAAAATGTAGGCATGAAGCTATATACATATCTTTTTGTCTTCTAGGAAACATTTCTATTTGCAAATGTGTTTCAGAGATTGGGCATTTCACAGACATACTCCCCCCAACCCCACCCCCCTTGGTTTCTATTAGCTGGAACTATTCTTTTTAGCAATATCTTCATTAAAATAAAAATGATGCTATTAGTGAGACCCTTTCTGGATCTAGAAAGACCTCAAGGAATTCTTAGGATGTAGTATTTAGTCATGAAAAAATAATGTGGGTGCCTATTGAATTTGATCAGAATCGTTGATATTTACTATACCATGTGACAAATTGATAGAACTGAAAGTTTTTAAAATTTCAAGTACCTATGATAATTGGTTGGGACAGGTGGCAAGTTAATAATAATTAGGATATTAATATTAATAACAATGGTTAATGACAATTATTAAACTATTATATATATCAGGCAATATAATAAGCTTTTGTGTCCTAAATCCCATTAATCCTCAAAAGAAAAATACAATTACATTATATACATTGTAATTACCTTACAACTCCCATTTTATAGATGAGGAAAGCTCATTCAAGGTCATATAGTAAATGGCAGAGCCGGGACTTGAACCCACATCTCTGACACCAATCTCTCTTGCTATTATTTATAATACTCTGTTGCTGCAGACGGCATTTTAGTTTTTTAGTGTCAAAAAGGAACCATAGCATTTTATCTTACGTCAGACATTGGTCTGTTAGCTCCGTGAATGGTGGACACATTCAGAAAAGAAATAGTATATTATTGTAGTTGGACTCAGAGGAAGGGATTGAGTCTTTAGCCAGCTGGAGTAATCTTTTTCTTCCTCACTTTCAGAAAGGCTTGGTCAGAGCAAGACTAGAAATGTGCTCAGGAACTGTTAGAAAACCAATTTGACTTTTGGCTATACCTTTTATGAAGGTTTTTCTCCTCATTATTAATCCTTATCTTGGCATTGTTGGGTTTTCCAAAAATCCTACACAAATGGGAATCTTATTAACATCAAAATTTCTAAAATGGAAAAGAGATAGGAAGTAAGTGCCTACATTTTAGAGGGGGATAAGGTTCCAATGACAGTACCTTTTAGGATCTGCTTCAAAGGAACTTAAAGCAACAAAGTATAATTGTCTGGTTGACAATGAATTGCTGTGGTTTAACCGTTCAGGTGTAGTAGTCATGAAATAACTATCAGAATCTTTAGAAAAATTTTAAGCATCATAGCTAAACGGGTTATAAAATCTGGGTCCTTACTAATGGTGCTGAAAGAATCATTCATTAAAACAACAGGCATAATAGTTGGTAACGGTGGTTAAAGGTAGAAAAGAGATAAAAGAATTAAAAACTGATTAATGTTGGCATCCTTGTATGTGCCATATGATCAAGGGTATGAAGAAGAAGAGAGGCTTGTTTGTAACATTAAATAGGTCCTAAGAAATTGATAACAAAAATAGGATCCAAGCTGGAAAGAGGTACACTGAGAATCTTCAGTACCTAGCCACGTTGTTCACTTAGCAGTATGCAGTTCCTACTTTTTCCTCTAATTCTTTTTCCTTTTCCCCCTCTACAGACATTCCATACACCAAGCTTGGGTGATGAAGAATTTGAAATCCCGCCTATCTCCTTGGATTCTGATCCTTCACTGGCTGTCTCAGATGTGGTTGGCCACTTTGATGACCTGGCAGACCCTTCCTCCTCTCAGGATGGCAGCTTTTCAGCCCAATATGGGGTCCAGACATTGGACATGCCTGTGGGCATGACCCATGGCTTGATGGAGCAGGGCGGGGGGCTCCTGAGTGGGGGCTTGACCATGGTAAGGGGCAAAACATTTTCAGGCTTACCCAAGCTTAATGGTGTTAGGAGAGACCAAAGTGACTCTCTATTCCCTGCTACATGTGGGTATTGTTTCTCATTCTTGTGGCCAAAGGTTCATCAACAAAGACTTAATTTCTCCTGAATGAATGAAGTTTATCATCTGAATCAATTTTACTTGAAAAATGGTTTAAGATTATGAAATGCCTAATGTTAACCCTGAAATGAAAATGATTTATTGTGATTTTTGGAAAAAGGAAAAGGTTTTTTTCCCCCCCTTCTAATATGGCCTTCACATCCATATTCAAATGTGAGTATGATAGCTGGCACATTGAACGATTTAGTCAAGAACAGTCTAAACCAAATGTATTGATTGTGAATTAGTATGAGTATTTTGGACTTCCGGCACATCTCAACAGTAGCACATCTCCATGCATTATATTTGATACCAAACATCTCTACCATTGGCTTTATTTACTCTGATTGCCTGTGTATTGCAACTTTAAACTCCATTATTTTAGGAGGGTAGAGGGAGGAAGTTGTCACCCTGTGTATCATCACTATCTCCAGATTACTGAATAATTTATTTGCTCTTTAAATTAACGTCCAAAATTAAGACTTCTCGTTATTTTTTGTTATTTTGGAATAGGCCTTTGAGTACAAAGAAATGACTTTACTGATTTCTGTACTTTAAAAGCTTACTATGTTTTATATGTAGACAAATTATTTGATGTTTAAACGATGATACAGTGTGGGTGAGCAGGGGATTTATAAACTGTCCTGAATTCAGGGTGGGGGGGAACAGTGGTGTTTTTTATATTTAGTGTTTAATTAGTCCTTCTGCTTCTCTCAGGACTTGGACCATTCTATAGGAACTCAGTATAGCGCCAACCCACCTGTTACAATTGATGTACCAATGACAGACATGACATCTGGCTTGATGGGGCATAGCCAGTTGACCACCATTGATCAGTCAGAACTGAGTTCTCAACTTGGTTTGAGCTTAGGGGGTGGCACCATCCTGCCACCTGCCCAATCACCTGAGGATCGTCTTTCAACCACCCCTTCACCTACTAGTTCACTTCATGAGGATGGTGTTGAGGATTTCCGGAGGGTGAGGCATTCCCTGCCAAAAATCAAATCTGCCATGATATTCTGGTATAAAATTCTTGGCATACAAAGCTACTCTGTATCTTTACTCCTGCCCTATCATCCCCTGTGCTCTTTTCTGGGTATGGGGTCCTGCCTCTCAATTTACAGTTTATAATGCTCCTCCCAGTCTCCATTCTTATTGGTCTTTACATACTTTACTAATGTCTTAATCCTATTGCCTCTATTTTCAGCACATCTGAAAATTCCATCCATGTGGCTAGATCATTTCCCCCATATAAAAGTCCTTTTCTTACAGTTCTCCAGACATGATACTTCCCCTCTTCCTTCTTGTAATTCTCTTTTTTCTTCCCTGCAGCAACTTCCCAGCCAGAAGACAGTTGTGGTGGAAGCAGGGAAAAAGCAGAAGACCCCAAAGAAGAGAAAAAAGAAAGATCCTAATGAACCCCAGAAACCAGTTTCAGCATATGCTTTATTCTTTCGTGATACACAGGCTGCCATCAAGGGACAGAATCCCAATGCCACTTTTGGGGAAGTTTCAAAAATTGTGGCCTCCATGTGGGACAGTCTTGGAGAAGAACAAAAACAGGTGAACAAATAATGAGAAACTAGTGGATAGTGAATGTTCTAGAAGTTTTTAAGGGGATAAAAACTAAGTTTTAACTTTCTTACATGTCTTATTTAATATCTGCTCTTAGTTAATGGCATTCATGGATTATCCTTGGTCGTAGAAGCTGCAGCCATAGCGAGTCCAGAATACCCATATAAACATTACTAATCAGTAATTGTTGTGAAAACGCTGAATCTAACTTTTCTAAGCTTCATTTTTTATTTTTTCCACTGTAAAATTAGGCTATTTCTTGATAGTTATGCTGCGGTTAACTCTAAAATCCACTATCAAGTTTGGATTTAGATTTAGTTTGGGATTTTCTCATTGGCCTACTTTAAACCTGAAAACCATGGTTAATCTCCCTGAACTTAATCTGGATTTCAAAGAAATGAAGATACAACTGAAATTGAAGATGGCTATAATTATTACTGTAGACTACCCAGGTCTTATGTAAAAGTGAGTCCACTACTTAATACTTGAAACAAAAATATGTATTATAACTTGTATCAGTTATCTCTTGCTACTTAATGAAGCATCACAAATTTAATGGCTTAAAACAATGACAATGTATTATTTCTCATGATTCTGTAAATTGGTTGGGTGGTTTTCCTGTGTTCTTGCCTGGGCTCATTCCTGTTTTTGTAGTCAAATGACAGCTGTTACAGCTGGCCAAGGTGACCTTGTTCCCATGTCTGGCAGTTGGTGCTACCTGTTGGCTGAGATGCCTTAGTTCTCCTTCACATGGCCTCTCATCCTCCAAATAGGCTAGACTGGCTTCTTTGCAGTATGGCACACTTACAGCAATGTTCCAACCGAACAAAAGATGTCCCATTGTCTTTGTGTCACTTAACATTTTAATGGTCAAAGCAATTCATAGAGCTAACCCAGATTCAAAGGAAGGGGAAGTAGGTTTCAGGGGGGAAATCTTGTGGCTCTCATTGTAAACAATTTAACACATGCCTTAAGGAAGAGTATACCGGTTAGACATGATCCCAGACCAAGCAGACTCCTCATATAGCCTTTGGGTAAGGATTTGTTTTGGTAATAGAAGCAGACATGAGTTGGTGTTACTTTGGAAGAGTAGTTATTCCAGCATGACTCCTGTTGATTGGGTGGCTTTCAGATGAATGGTCACTGGAAAGTCTGCCATGGGGACTGTCTTGATTACTAGCTTTCTGAAGTGTATTTACTAAAAGGAGTTGTCAATATTTAGACTGAGATGAAATGCCATTCATTGATGAATAGAATTATCAGTCTTTTCTAGGAGTGTGGGCTTCTTTTTAAACTGTCTTTCCTGCAGGTGTATAAGAGGAAAACAGAGGCTGCCAAGAAAGAGTATCTGAAAGCTCTGGCTGCTTACAAAGACAATCAAGAGTGTCAGGTAAGAGGGTTAGGATAGGTGGATATTTATTTAAACCAATAAAAAAATTTTTTTGAGCAGATTACCAGTTATAAGAATACTACCAAAAACCTGTGGAACCTGTTGATACTGTGTAGTAAAAGCTTGAAAGTATAACATGGTTTCCCATTGTTTCCATCATAAACCTTGCCAAACAGTCTTTCTTTCTGAGTTTATCCCATTGTTTACTTTAGCCAAGGTAACACCTACAGCTGCTCTTTTCCTTCTTTCCTTCCTTTTTTTTTTTCTTTTTTTAAGATTTTATTGGGGAAGTGAGGGAGGGGAACAGCGCTGGGGAATCGAGGGAAGGGGAACAGACAAGTTGCTGTCCTTTTGTTCTTCAGTCTAGTTGTGGAGGACGTCGCTTCGCTGGCCCATGTTGGTATTATCATTGCGCTCTTCCCGGGTGTGGCAGATTGGTCGCTGGCCTCTGGACAGCCGCTCACGGTGGCTCTTGGCAGCTCACACCGGCTGCTGGCTGCTCACGCTGGCTGCTGGTCACTCACGGTAGCCCAGCTCCAGGTCAAGCTGTTGTTCACCATCTTAGCTATAGAGGGCACAGCGTCACTGGCCCTCATGTGGGATCTGAACCGGGACCCTGCTGCTTAGAGCTGGTGTCCCAAGCCAGCTCCTAACCAATGTGCCACTTGGCCGGCCCTCTTTCTTTCTTTAATCTGTATCTTTTGGGAGGTGATTAGAGTGAATATGAATATGTCCTAGGGAAGAGAGTAAATTTCCCAATGACATTTTGTTGTTGTCCTTCTTTAGGCCACTGTGGAAACAGTGGAATTGGATCCAGTGCCGCCATCACAGACTCCTTCTCCACCTCCTGTCACTACTGTTGACCCAGCATCTCCAGCACCAGCTTCAACAGAGCCTCCTGCCCTGTCCCCTTCCATTGTTGTTAACTCTACTCTTTCATCCTATGTGGCAAACCAGGCATCTTCTGGGGCTGGGGGTCAGCCTAATATCACCAAGTTGATTATTACCAAACAGATGTTGCCCTCATCTATCACCATGTCTCAAGGAGGGATGGTTACTGTTATCCCAGCCACAGTGGTGACCTCCCGGGGGATCCAACTAGGCCAAACCAGCACAGCTACTATCCAGCCCAGTCAACAAGCCCAGATTGTCACTCGATCAGTATTGCAGGCAGCGGCAGCAGCTGCTGCTTCTATGCAATTGCCTCCACCCCGACTACAACCCCCTCCATTGCAACAGATGCCTCAGCCCCCCACTCAGCAGCAAGTGACCATTCTGCAGCAGCCTCCCCCACTGCAGGCCATGCAACAGCCTCCACCTCAGAAAGCTCGCATCAATCTACAGCAACAGCCACCTCCCCTGCAGATCAAGATTGTGCCTGGACCCACTCTGAAAATGCAGACTACCTTAGTTCCACCAGCTGTGGAAAATAGTCCTGAACAGCCCATGAACAACAGCCCTGAGGCCCATACAGTGGAGGAAACCTCTTCTGAGACAATCTGTGAGATGATCACAGATGTCGTTCCTGAGGTGAGGCTGTTTGCACGTCTTTCCTTTAGACCAGTGGAAATGTATAAGAGCATACTTGGTTGACCCAATAAAAGCGGGGGTTGCTACTAGCATTTAATGCCTGGAACCAGAAGTATGAAACATCTTATAAAGGACAGTTCTCTGTGACTGTGACATGTCTCACCCATGATACTATGTAGTGTTCTTGATGAGAAGCATTAAGAAGGCCTCCTGTCCTAGGCTACTCCTTAACTAATCAGAATACTGTAGTTCGACTAGAGAGGTATGGGCTTAGGCTATACCTCCCATTTCTCCTATATCTGGACTGCTTGGCTTGATGTTTTTAAAAGTGGGGGATGGATACGGGATATAGCTAGAAACATTCAATTGTTTTATATCAATGAATCCAAAGTGATATAAACAGATGCCAGTTACCCTAGTTTTAACTTGTACGTGACCAGTAGTCATTTTAAAATACAGGTCTGTTGAGACTAGTATCACAACTGAAAGTGGTAATTTTAAAGAAAAGTAAAGAATACCCATCAGGAGGAAACTATGACTCTCCAAGTTCTTTTTTTCTTTTGCTAATGGCACATTTTGTCTTCTCTTTGCCCCACAAACTTAGTTGAGGTGACTCAACCTCTACTCACATTCCTTTGATATTTTCAGAGGACTATCATTCAAGTGTAGAATAAGTCAGTGATGAGTAAGATTAAAGAGCACACATGTAAAACTGCTAGTCAGCCCTCCACATACACAGATTCCCAACTATGAATCGAAAATTCTGTTCACCTTTGAACTGTGCAGGTAAATCTGCATACGAATGAGTGGACCAGCACAGTTCAAACCTGAGTTGTTAAAAGGGTCAAATGTACTAGCATATGGCCAGCATTCCCGATGGGAAGAATCTTGTCAGTCTACTTGGCAAAGTTCTAAAGCCGGATGTAGAGGTGGAGACCAGGAACTCACCTTCTTTTGGAACGTTACACCCATGTGAGGGATTTTAACACCTGTTCCTCCATTGGGTCCCAGACTTAACTTGACTAGTGGCTGACTAGTAGGTAGCAAATCTAATCCATCTTTGGTGCTCTCTTCCTCTCATAGGTTGAGTCGCCTTCTCAAATGGATGTTGAATTGGTGAGCGGGTCTCCTATGACGCTCTCACCCCAGCCACGATGTGTGAGGTCTGGTTGTGAGAACCCTCCGGTTGTGAGTAAGGACTGGGACAATGAGTACTGCAGCAATGAGTGTGTGGTGAAGCACTGCAGGTGAGTTACAGTTTCTCTCCTCATAATTTAAGTACTGCTAAATTAACTGTTGGAAAAGATGGTAACCCTGAGCCTATCAGTATTATCTTACCTTAGAGTAGGTTGCTGTATATATGTTTGATTATAGAGGTTATTAGAAAAGTTCTCCTGCTTAAAAAGAGCTTACATTTGCCACATAGACAAAGATGACATAATTAGCAGTTCATACTTTTTAGGTACATTACCTCTATGTATGCTCTTTAAATGTATGACAGTGCATTAAGCAGTTATTGATTGAATATTAGCTTATCTCCTTAGTGCAAGTCAGACCATTTAGGAAACTACAATTTGAGGAGAAATGGATCAGTAGTAAGTAGCACAGTAAGGTGCTAAGTGTGGTAGAGGTAGGGGAGAAGTCCTGAAGATTTTCCTATCTCCCCAAGTTTCCTTGGGATTTACCTACATCCATGAAACAAAGCATTATTTTCTATCTCAAATCCTCTTCAGGAAACTAGGAATGCCTATATTTCTGACTTTTAGTCCAATTGCCCCAATATTCCTACTGGGTGATACCATCTGACCTTGGTGCTACAAGAAATTAACTGAAAACTTCTTTAAGATAGTTAAAAAAGAATATATCTAAGCTGCAATTCTAAGTTTGTGTATGTCTTTTTCTCTCTTAGGGATGTCTTCTTGGCCTGGGTGGCCTCTAGAAATTCAAATACAGTGGTGTTTGTAAAATAGTCCTTCCTGTTCTCCAAGCCAGTGAAGATTTATCTGCCAGGAACATGTACAAGAGCCTGTTTTTAAAACTCAAGCTGGGCTTCTGGCAGTGCCTGATCTCAACCCATGATGGTTCTTCATGCTTCTCCCCTTTTTCATCAACGAGGGGCCAGGCTATGGAGCAGGGCCATTAAGTGTGCTGTAATCTGGAATTGCTTTTTACTTTGAAGTATAAGCAGAAATGCCAGTAATAATAGCAGAAGAAAGGGTGAAGGGAATATGGACAAGCAGATCATAGGGGTGGTGGTGGTGGGGGTTGTTTGAAAAAACTTGTTGGTATAATTGTCATAGGATTTCTCTAAAAGATTATTAAAATTATGGAAGAGTACACATCAGCTTTGAACCTATCATTGTGTGCATCCATTTAAAAGGTTGAATTAAAGGTTACACCTCTTAAACAGAGCTGTTATTATCATATCTATACATTGTTTGAGAACAAAGGTTTTCAACACAGTAGGCACACTGGGTTATAGGGACAATAACATACCTACGAGTTTCTTAATTCCTCTTTACAAATAGCATTTCTATAGTCATCGTCCCTCCTTATCTCATTTATCAGTTTCTGAGTGTAATAAGCAGAACTCTTCATCCTTAAATTAATATAAAAGGTTTCACCGAAGTGTACAGAAGTTGTGTTCACTTGTGTTTGATGAAATAGCTTTTAAAAGATAGGCCAGAGGTGTTTTCATTTACATAATATATGTAGGCTAATCTCTGCACATACTAGGCACTTATTTAAATCTAAAATATACTTATTGCATTTTTCTTGAAAACGAAAGAATACGAGACTAGCAAAGCCACAGTTGAACAGAATAAGCAAGTGTTTAGAGCATGATAGCCCTAGTGATGACAACATTTAGTGAAACTCAGATCTTACCTTGAGAAATGCTGTCCTAGGAACCCCCTTCTTAATTACCATGTTCATGTACTAATTGCTAATAACTTTAATCCTACACTACATAATCAACATTTTAATGCTTTCCATGCATTCGTTTAGTTTGAACCCTTACAACAATCCACGAGGTAGGTAATATTCCCAGTTTACATATTAGGAATCATACTGAGAGAGATGAGTTACATAAGATCACATACAGTTAAGTGGCAAAGCCAAAATTTGACCTCGAAATCCCAACTACAATATAAACTTTTATTTAAATAAGGAAAAAAGCTATTGTACAAATATTGCTCTTCAGGTGCAGCCTGCAGAGCCATGGCTATGGATGCTTAGCTCTCTGAGGAAGTGCTTCTACAGATTTTTAGGTTTAGAGATGATACCATCTGGATACCTTTGCTTAAACCGGGCAACCACATCTGGGTCTAATAGATGGATCCCATCCAGTTGGTTTCCAAGGGTGATCCTGAAGCAAGAGGAAAGATGGGGCAAACCAAAAATCCTGGTTAAAATGCTTAACACTGTTAAAAGATGCATACCTTTTATTAATACTGCCTATCATCTCATTGAATATTCAAGCAAATTATTTTAAAAAGACATTATTAGATTAGTATATGGTAGCATGCATGACTGGTTAGGAATTGCACAGATTTTGGTGTTAAAACAGGCAGGATCTGTATTACTTAAGGGTTAATAACTGATGGCTAACCAGGCCTACTTCACAAAGCTGTTGCTGCCAGTGAGTATTCTTTGGATAAGTAAAATGCTAGCAGCATGGTTTTTAAAGCTCTACTACAGGATGAAAGATACTAAAATTGTTGATACATTAAATAGAGTCTTAGTTAACCACTAGGGGGCAGATTCAAAACATTCCTAGAATAACTTAAGTGAGGTAGATCTTTAGGTTGCAATAGAGTAGAGACCCTAGAGATCAGTGGTGTGAGTCCTAAAACCTGTTGGCTTTCCAATGAATGTTGCAGAATCCCATAAAACAGCTGAAATATAACCTTAGGTGGCTTATGAATCCTCTGAAACCCATTTGCAGACTACTGGAATATGAGGCAAAGATCTAACTTGTCCTTGACTATAAATAGTTTTGCCCTTGGAGACAAGCATGTTCTCTGGTCACCTACCAGTTGGGTTGCACATTGTGTGGTCGTCCAAATAACTCAATCTTGCGAGTGCCAGGGGATAGTCTCTCAATCATGCCATAGATTTCATCTGGTTTATGACTGGTAGAACGAACCTAAGAAATAAAGGCTCCAGCTACTTTTAAGTTACTCAAGATTGCAATTCTAGCCCTTTCCATTTGTATATGATCCAAAAGAGAGAACTTGGGATAAGAGTACACCCGACCTGAATAACTGATACCAATTAAAACGAAGCTTTGGATGCCTGGGAAAACACATACCTCAGCTACGATCACATCACAATCCAGACCCTGGTTGAAGCCTTGGGGATTTCCTTTAACACCAACCTGCTCACCACAGAGAACAGATTGAAACCTTATGAAACCCCAGCATATGAACTTTTTCTCAATAAGAAATCAAACAATTCCTCTTTTTCCTCCACTTAATGAATTGGGTCCCACTGCTACTCACCAAGCAGTGCTCCTTCCCGTGATTCAACCAGTGACCTGTACGGCCAGTCCGAATGATGCGTTGCAGTTGATTTGTCTTCACCCAGATAATTTCATCTACCCGTTCATAACTGTGGGGCATAAGAAAGAAAACTAGAGCTTTAATCAGACTTTCAGTTTAGGGGTAGTACCATCTACTCTACAGAGGCAAGGAATCAAAAGGAATACTCTGGGAGAAGATACACGTATCTCAACTATAGCAATTATATATTTATTTCCCTCAAAAGAAAGCAACAGGATGATTGCTACTTACCCCCAGAGGTTCAAACATTCTCTGCCCAATTCCATGGCCCTAGGAAGAAATAAGGGTTAAACAGCTACTTCCATGCCCATATTTTTTTCTCCCTTTAAGATATATAAGTGTTTTCAGTGAACATTTACATGCACGACACCATTAGGGCAACAGGATGGATCTAAGAATGTAAAGACAAAACATCTATTCTCAATGGTCTTACCTTTTACAAGGAACAAATGTAGAGTTAAATAAAATTCAAGGTATAATTTCTATTATAAGCAGGCATTAGTTTTCAGTAGAAAAAAAGGCTGACTCAATCATGGATTTAATAGCATGTCTAAGAAAACCCAGTATTTTATGCCCACCCAGTACTCACTCTGTACTGTATCTGCCCATAACTACATATCTTTGAACTGCATTACCTGCCTGTGACCCAGAGGAAGAGAAAGCCATCATCCTGCAGTACTGGTATGTTGAGCCTGCGCATCTCATCATCTGTCAGGGTCCCATAGGGCAGCTCCATGTGAATATCCCAGGGTGGGTCAGCCATCACAACTGCAAACTTGCCCAAGATACTGACGTCCAGGTAGCGGATATCACAACAGATCCACTGCATGAGGTGGTATTTGGTCATCTTCCCTTCCTCCACTTTCAGATTCATGGCCCCAGTCCCTCTTTTCCATTTGATTTTCCTATTTTCCATTTGATTTTCCTACTCCCTTATAAGCATATCAATCCCACTCCATTCCCAATTAGCAAGACAGATTACTGATTATGCCCTGCTTTCCTACATGTATGGCTGCCCTACTCAGATATAAGTCCATAAACTGAGAAGTTTTCTGAGACGACAGGTACCTGAGGTGGGAAGAGTCGATCTGCGTTGGAGTCACCTCCAACGCTCTGTGTAAGAGCAAGCTCCTGGCTGGGTGTATGGTCTTTGCTCCCAGGAGCCTCAGAATCCATGCAAGCATCAATTTCATAGTGAACGTATTTGCAGGTATCCATGTGGAAACACGTGTTAAGGAAAGAGCAGTCACCTAATGATTCATCAGTGTGTTTATTAATGATTCGTCTGGGGAAATAAAAAGGGAGAATCAGAATCAAGATGGTGTTCCACAGTTAGGTCCCATAGTTCAAGTTCCAAATAGTTTCAAAATTTCCCGTCTTACCCTCTCCTAATTTTCTCTATCATTAGAACTTCCTCCAAGAGTTTTCAGAGAAGGGGAAGGCAGGTGACATGGACATCCATAATTCATACTGAGCCAAGACATAACTGTCTTATCTTACGACAGGAAGGAAGAACTCGCTGGTGATAGCAGGATAAAACACTGACCTAAGAGCCCAGGGTCCTGTTTCTCCTAAGATCATCCTCCTTCCAGAGAACTTTCACTGGGGCTCAGAGACAGAGATGCTTTGCTATTGCAAGAAAGGGGCATTTAAAAAAACAAAAACCGGGCCGGCCGAGTGGCGCGATGGTTAAGAACTCGCTTGGGATGCCAGAGGGCCCTGGTTCGGATCCCACATATGAGGGCCAGTGACACTGCTGGGTTGCCATGAGTCGCCGGCGACGGCGTAGGCTGCAGTCCCTGTGGCAGTGGGTTGCCATGGGCTACCGTATGTAGCCAGCAGCCAGCGTG